AACCTCCTCCTCCTTCCTCCTCCTCTACCCTCCTCCTTCCAACCTCCTCCTCCTCCTCCAAACTCCTCCTCTTTCCTCCTCCTGCTCCCTCCTCCGTCCATCCTCCTCCTCCTCTCCTCCTTCTCCTCCTACTCCTCCCCCAAAACCTCCTCCTTCTCCTTCTCTCCTGCCCTCTTCCTTCCAACCTCCTCCTCCTCCTCCTCCTCCTCCTCCTCCTCTTTCTTCCTACTGCTCCCTCCTCCTTCCAACCCTTGCCTGACGTTAGGCGAACTTCGAGTACTATTGTTGTAACGTTCGTCAGTGACAAAGAGATCGCCGCCTTTTCGAAACGCAAAAGAACAATTTAGGCCACGGACTAGTGAAGATACGGAAATGCAGCGAGATGAGAAAAGAATGGTGGCCACCGTGGGCTCCTTCCAACCTCCTCTTCCTCCTCCTCCTCCTCATCATCATCCTTTGTCCTCCTCCTCCTCCTGCCCTCCTCCTCCTCCTCCTCCTGCCCTCCTCCCCCTGCCTCCTCCTCCTCCTTCCAACTTCGTCCTCCTCCTCCGTCTTCCGTCCTTCTCCTCCTCGTCCTCCTCCTCCCACTTCTTTCTTGGGATCTTGGCGTGGCAACTGTTTTGCACCCTGAGTCTTCGTCAAATTTCGGCTCGGGGATCATCACAAGTCGATACGCTTCGAAACATGCAACATAGTGACGGGGTCTAGGACTCTGGTCGTGACTTTTAGCAATGTTGGAATGTGTTCACAGCGTCGGATCTCAAAGTTCCCCCTCTGTCCTACTTCCTTAGGGACGCGAAAACTGACATAAGTGTAAAAACTCAGAGGTCCGCTCGGATTTCTTGGATCCGCGCTGGACCCCCCTCGCTGGCGCCGCGAGGCGCGCCAGAGACGGCGCTAGCTGCAGGTTCTGCGAGGCGCGCCCTCTGGTGTCGCTCGCGCGCGCCGCTCCGACGCCACCTGGCCACAACTTTCCCCTTCTGCTGCCTTCTGCCCCTTACTGGCCCCAGAAACGGCAAGGCAATTTTTTCACCGTTTCCGGAAAAGCGTCCCTTGAACATGGAACCGGCAAAAAAACGGCGACCCGAAACGGCAACAGAAACGGCTCCAGGATTGGAACCGGAGCGGGAACCCGTAAAAGAACATCGACGGAACCGGTAAACAAACGGCGACGGAACCGGCAAAAAGACGGCAAAACGGAACAGGTAAAAAACGGCCCTGTCGTTTCCAGAGCCCACGAAGTTCTGCCCTCAGGTTATGTTGCTCCCATCGTTAGGAGGCAACTACTGGGAGGTTTTCGTCGGAAAGATTAAGGAAGATTAAGCCCCATTTGAGACCTGTTACGCCGGAACGGGCCTCGGACCAAGCAAGATTAAGCCGGATTAAACGGGATTAAGCGGGATTAAAGCTGGATTAAGCCGGATTTCGGACCAGGGCGAAAACAGAATTTGACCTCCCAGGAGTTGTATCCGAAGCATCGCATTTAAGGGCCACATCCAATCAATAATTTCGAGCACCCCGAAAAGGATCGACACCGTGTCGAACGAGTATCGCCTCCCAGGGCCCGACACGTGAAACCCCTCAAGCTTGGGTACTTCCTTGGTGCTCGAAATGCTTGCTGGTGATCAAGGCTAAAGTAGGTTGGAACACCGTAACCGCGAGAGGAATGACCGCTGTCGCCAGGGCGACTCGGATGCAGTGGGCCGCCCCTCCGCCCCCGTGGGTGTCCCGCCGTGGTGTCCTGTGGTTGCCGGTTGGTGTCCCGTTGGTGTCCCGTCGGTGTTCCGTGGGCGGGCGGGCGCTGGGTGTGTTCCGCCTGGGTACTGATGGTGAAGTCGATAGCGAGATCGGTAATGAGATCGCTAGAACGGGACAAATACTGGGATTCAACGTATCGATCGTGAAGTCGATAGTGAGATTCGAGTGAGATCGCTAGAATGGGACGAACAGTGAGATCCAACGTGAGATCGACAGTGAAGTTGAGTGTGACACTGGTGATGAGAACGACAGTAAGATCGATAGAGGAATCGATCGTGATATCGATAGTGAGATCGATAGCGATATTTACAATGATAACGGTAGTGACATTACATTGCAGCGCGACATCGCCATCACGCGTCGTCGCTAGGGCGCGTCACCAGCATCGTCATCGTCAGCATCAGCATCATTATCATCACCATCACCACTACCATCATAGCCATCACCATCACCATCACCATCACCATCACCATCATCATCATCATCATCATCATCATCATCATCATCATCATCATCATCATCATCTTCATCATCAACAACAACGTCATCATCGTCAACATCATCATACCCGTCGTCAATCGCGACAGCCCCCGACAGCATCATCATCATCATCTGCATCAGCATCCGCATCAGCATCATCATCATCATCATCATCATCATCATCATCATCATCATCAGCATCATCATACCCGTCGTCAATCATCATCAGCATAATCATTTGCAAGCCATTGGTTCAACCCCCCAGCCCCCGACCTCCTTATCACCCGAAGGGTCGTCGTGTAGGTAGGTATGGGTGCGGTTTGTCCGACCCCGAGGGGGGCCCCCGTTCGGGCTGGGACCCCCATCCGATAACACACACCCATAGCCCCCACACACCCATGACCCCCACACCCCGATAATTCTGAGCGTCGCATAGGCATGGGCGCTAGTTGCCAAAACCATGATAAGCATAGTCTTTCGGGGGTCCGCACGGATTTCTTGGATCGGCGCTGGGCCCCCCTCCCTGGCGCGCGGGGCGCGCCAGGAGCGGCGGCGGGGGCGCCGCCAGTGGGGCCTAGTGCGGATCCAAGAAATCCGAGCGGAAATCCGTCTATGCTTAAGCGAGTCATTACTCTCTCTCTCTTCGAATCAGGGGTCCTCCTCCTCCTCCTCCTCCCTCCTCCCTCCTCCTCCTCCTCATCCTCCTCTCCTCCTCCCTCCTCCTCCCTTCCTCCCTCTCCCTCCCTCCTCCCACCTCCCCCTCCTCCTCCTCCTCCCTCCTCCTCCTCCTCCTCCTCCTCCTCCTCCTCCTCCTCCTCCTCTCCTCCTCCTCCTCCTCCTCCTCCACCTCCTCCTCCTCTCCTCCTCCTCCTCCTCCTCCTCCTCCTCCTCCTCCTCCTCCTCCTCCTCCTCCTCCTCCTCCTCCTCCTCCTCCTCCTCCGCTTCTCAATCCACGCGAGAGCCTCTCCTGGGCCGCACTCCGGCCCGCACGTCGAGGCGCATCCGGCGGCGGCGGCGAGGCCCTTCCAACTCGAGGCCCAACGGGGGAGCGACGCCTGTCGAATAGAGGCCTCCTACTGAGCATCTTCTTCGGGTGGAGGGCTCAGGCCTCCTCCTCCTCCTCCTCCTCCTCCTCCTCATTCTCCGCTTCCTCCCCCCACTCCTAGCCCTTTCGATCAGGGTCGGCGGCACCGGCCGTCAGGCCTCTCCAATAGAGGCCTCCTACTGAGCATTTTCTTCGGGTGGAGGGCTCCGGGTGAAATCCATATGGGCTTTTGTACATCGAAAATCAGTCCGTCTTGTGATCCACCTGTTGCAGACTCCAACCTCGAGCATCCCTCGAAACGGCATGTCAGATTTTACCCTTTGCCCTCCACCCAAAGAGAATGCTCGATCCTAGATGGGGTCCGAGTAGATGGGGTTGAAGGATCGCGCCGCATCGCCGATGCAACGCCGATGTATCGCTGACGTATCGGCGATCGCCGATGCATCGCCGTTGCATCGACGACGTCGGCGAGGCATCGGCGACGTCGACGTGAAGCAAAGCGGGCTCCACGTCGAGCCTCATTGCCGATGCATCGGCGATGCGGCGCGATCCTCCGACCCCATCTACTCGGACCCCATCTATGAGGCCTAGATCACAGTGCACCATCCTCCTCCTGCTATAGCCGGGGGTTGCTAAAGGTGCCCCTGGCCCAAGGTGCCCTCAGCTTTTGGCTCGATTTTGGAACCCCTGAAGCCTCGTGAGGGGTGCACTGGAATCCTGGGGGTACCTTGGGCCAAAGGCCCTTTTACAACAGTCGGGCTAGGACGAAGCGAAAACTTGGGCAACATCAGACCGGAACAATAACGGGGATCTCTCAAACCTAACGGCTCTGAATCTGTATCGGGCGACGCGGCCGTTACAGATCGCTTTGGAACGCTCTAAGAGCGTTCCGAATCGCTCCAGGCTCAAGTCAGCAAACAAGCGTCAAGAAATTCCTCCTCCCGACTCTTTACGACTACTCGAAACGAGCACGGCAGGTTCGTGTCGTGATGCTTTCGGGGCGATGGTTGCGTCACCGCGTGGATCGTTCAACCTTGAGCAATCGTCGGCTTTGCGATCCCCAGATCGTTCCAAGTTGCGCAATTCTGTCGGGCATTGGCAGAACTGGGTTTAGTGGAACCTGGTTGAGTGATTTGTACCGGGGGCGCCCCCCCGCCCCATTTCCACTAACCGGAACTGCCGTCACCCGAAAAACACCAGTTACGGCAAACCTGGTTTAGTGAATCTGGCCAATTGAGGGGCCCCAGGCCCTACCACTAACCGGATCCTTACCCGGGGTCCTGGCTATGCCCGATTCTAGGTCTGCCGTGGCATTCAACCTTGACCGCCCGCGCCGGCGTTGCAGCCGCGTCGGCACGCCACCCCCCTGATGTACCACCCACCCGTCCCCTGACAATGATCTCAACGACACATTTTCAAGCATGGGTGCGATCTGAACTGCATGTTCAAATGTCTGAGCTCACCATGCGGTGCTTGCACTCAGGGGCTCTCACGCCTTCTTTACACAACTGGACCTGTGTGGCGATTTGGCGGCCATGTTGTGGCCGTCGCAGCCTCGTCGCCGCCTCGTCGCCGCCCGTCGTCCAGGCTTGTGTGACGATCTCGGCGGGTACGTTGTCGCCGTCGCCGTCGCTGCCCTTCGCCGCCTCGTCGCCGCCAGTCGTCTGGGCCTGTCTGTCAGTCGTCGCGCTTGTTGCCGGCATCGCCGTCCCAAATAGATTGCACAACAAATATGGCAAAACATAGATTGCACAACATAGATCGCCTGACGTAGAAGAATTCGGATCTACCACCCCCCCGAAGCCGTGATTATCCGCCCGCCTGGGGATGTACAATTTACATATGCATCCCAGCCTGGATCGACCCCCCTCATTCCTTCCAGAAGTAAGATACACTATGCTTACGTGGGGCGTGTCCCCCTACAGGGGGATTTTCGAAGAAAAATAAAAATTAGTCAAAACATACCTCCAAATGGTAGTCAAAAAACTCCAAAAATAGTCCCCATACTATTTTTTGACTAATTTTGAATATTCCCCCTGAAGAGGGACAGGCCCGATTTAACACTATGCGCGCACATTCGTTTATCAAAAACCAGCCAAATCAGCCATTTGCAATTCTCCGCTGCAACAAAGGAGACCAAGTGCACACGGGCACGTCGTCGCGCGCCCGTGCCAAAATCCTTCGGCGCAGCCGGGAATTGTGATCTTCTCGTGGAGAGGTCGGTCAAAACATGTCTGCACAACCTTCAGAAGGAGCCCTGTGCACGTCTCGGGCTTTCGACTTCGTGGAGTGCCCGCCGGCCCGACGTGTGCTCCCCGATCACGCTGGCCTCTCAGGCGCCCGCGCTCCTCGGAGGAGCCCGCCAGCAGCAGCGGCGCCAGGCAGATCCTGTGGCACCAGGCGGGGAGGGGGCGCGGCACCCGGCTTGTCGGGCAGGCGGGCCGAAGGCGGATGGGGTGGACGGAGGGAGGAGCATCGGCCGAAACTGCGCAGCCAGCATCCCGCAGACACAGCAATCTAAAAACATGAAGGAAGATGAGGCCGATGATCAACTCGTGCGAATGTTTGCTCCTCCGCCATGGCTCCAGAGCGCCGCTGGGGAGTTTCGGGCAGGTGGTAATGGGGGGTGACCTACATTGGGGGTGAAGAAAAGGGCCCTCAAGGGTCCATGCAACACATACGGCAAGGCCCTATATATACACACACACACATACGACACGGCGCAACGAGAACCAATACATCCCCGGTGGAAGCCATAATAATACCCACGCGACGCCAGTGGAGTTCAGTTCGATTCCATCGAAATACATCGGAACCGTGTGGGGAGGGGAGTGGGCGAGCGCGGAAGAAGAGGCAAGGGATCGACGGCGCTGGGATGAGCACGAATCACTTGGGGAAGTGCGGAGGAGCTGGGGGATGCGTAGGGGACGCAGAAACAGGAATGACGTGGGAGGTCCGGGGAGACCTGCGGCGAGTGCGGAAGAACTGAGACAAGTGCGGAAGGAATCGGGATATTGCGGCGGAGTGGGGGCGAATCGAAAGATCGGAGGGAAGGCGTGAGGCGTGTAATTGAGTGTAGACGAATGGATAAGAAATCGAGCTAATGCAAACACATTTGCACCACAGGAATCCACAAGACACGATCGACATATCACTGCGATGCACGTGGGATTCCACACGCACACATACCGATGATCCTCCGTATGACTCCGAGTATTCGTCGCACGTTCACTGTTGCTCTTCTCTTCTGTACCTCCTTCCCTTCCTCCTCACCCTTGGCCCTTGCCGACCCTCCCCCTTCGACTTGCTGTTCTTACTTCCCTCCTCCATTCTACCAGCGCGTTTTCCTCCACTCAGAAAATCAAATCCATTCCTGAACCGAACATGGACTGGGATGCGTTGGATGGGCCCCGAACAAATCGGCCAAAAGGGGGGGCGAACGCCAATCCGCTCAACATCCGTCCCCGTGCCCATCATGGGGTCTGAACAAATTGGGCCGGAGGATTCCGCCGCATCGTCGACGCATCATCGATGCATCGACGTCCGCGATGCGTCGGCGATGTACGCGTGGAGACACTCGGGCGCCACATCGGGCCGAATCGCCGATGCATTGGCGATGCGGCGCGGTCCTCCGACCTCGCCTACTCAGACCCCCTCCGGGAGGCCCAGACTGTCCCCCACTGGGCGCCTCCCTGGGTCGCCCACGTCGCGCCCCGCGCTCCGACGGAGGCGACGCGCCCCCCCCCCCGCCCCACCACCCCCCAGGCTTATGCTGCTCCCATCGCACTTCAGGACCACATCCTAGAAATAATTTCGAGAACCCGGAGAAATTTCGAAAGCGTGTCGAAACAGTGTCGGACGAGTGTCTCCCAGGGCCCGACACTTGGAAACACATGAATTTCGGTAGTTTTTTGGTGCTCGACATTCTGTCTAGCGATCGAAACTAAGGCCTGTTGGGATATTATAACCCCAGGCCTCCGACCGCGAGAAGCAGACCGCGGTCCATCTTCGGCGCAACCCCCGCGCCCCTCGCCAACTCTCTCCCCCCCAGCACGAAAGTGATAAAGGAAGTATCAGGACTTCGGTCGGGCATGTCCCCCCTACAGGCGGATTTTCGACGAAACATTAGAATTAAGAATCAAACGCTGCTCCAACATGGTCAAAAAGGAAAATCGTATTCCCGCCGTAGAACGACAGGCCCGACCGAAATCAAGACACCACAAGAACAAACTTTCGGAGCTTTGCGCGGATTCCTGACCCCCTCCCGGGGCGCTGGCCACGGGCGGCGCCAGAGGCGCCGCCTGGGGGTCCAGCGCAAATCAACAAATTACGCGGGGAACCCCGAACATATGTCGTTAGAAAGGTCATGGGGTGTCGCTGGATTTCGCTGCCCTGATGCGCACAACTGCGAAGCACGCACCGTGGCGACGAAACAGAACGTCTCCTACCGCAAGCCGTGCCTGGACCTGGGCGACAACGTTCGGCTTTCACCACATGCGCGCAACTGAAAACTCAACCGCCGCGTGTCTCACGGCGGCTCGCGTGCAGCCGCGGGTCCTCCGGCCTCGACCCCGGCGGGGGGGTGAACCGCCGTGGGGGGAGACTGGGTCACGGAGGCTTTAGCAGTCCTCCAAGGGCCCAGGGGCCGTCAACAATGACTCCTCGTAGGCCCCCCCACGGGCCCTCAGGCCGTCAACCACGACTCCTCGGGACGAAAAGCTGTTGGTGCTGGGGAAGGCCCGCTTCCCCCTGGCGGGCGAATCAGAAGCGCACCGGCACCGCGTCTCCCCGGCCCTCTCTCCCAGGGCGCGCGTCCTGACCGAGCTTTAGGTCGGGCGTGTCCCCTACAGGCGGATTGCGGATTATGGTCGAAAAGTATGATATATTAAAAACAAAATGATTCAACCTGTTTCAAAACATCGTCCCACAACAATTGTTAACTATGTTTGAGTCTTCTTCCTGTAGAAGGACACGCGCGACTTCAACCGAGCTTCTCGAGGCGATCCCAGCCGCGGCGACCGACGGAAGGGCGGAGGCACCGGTGCAGCCGAGATTGTAGAGGCCGCCCGAGAGGGCACAAGTCTCTGCCGAGGGCCGTAGCGCGATGGACAGGACACAGGGGCGCACGTGCCTGTGCAGGCTCAACCTGGAGAGCAGACCTGGCTGTAATTTTCCTCGGGGCAGGGAGACTTAAGACAACGGCAACTCAACATCGATCCCTCCTGGGGCCCAAACGTACACATTTTCCGAGCTGCGTCCAGCCGTCGCGGCGAGGGGACCCCCGAAGGCCAACCACCGTTGTCTCCACCTCCGCCGAGACGAGATCTAGAGTTAAGGCGGGCCTGTCCCCCTTCAGGGGGATTTTGGACGAAAATTAAAAATACTCAGAAAAAATACGCCCCAAATGTTTAAAGTAGTCGAAAAAAAATCACCAGACTATTTTTTGACGATTTGGGAATATTTTTGGGGGTATTGTAAATTTTCCGTCGAAGATCCCTGTGTAGGGGGGCAGGCACGACTTGACTCTAGAGTCGCCGCCGCCGCCGAGACGAGATCTTTCACCCGCGCCGCCGCCGAGACGCACCCCAGTCCTGGCGCCCCCGCTGTCCGCCGGGCGCGCGCCGTCGGGGCCGGCGGGCAGCCGCACGGCGACCGGCAGGGTGGCGCGCTGCAGGCTGTGCACCTGCGGGCGCGCGGGGGCCTCTCGCCGCCGCGGCCGCTCGGCGTCGCCGCCGTCGCCGGTCGCTGCCGCGGGTCGCCGTCGCCGTCGGTCGCCGTCGTCGTCGGTCGCCGGCGCCGTCGGTCGCCGCCGTCGTCGGTCGTCGTTGTCGTCGGCCGACGGTGTCCGTCGTCATCGTCGGTCGTCGCCGCTGCGCTGCAGCTCGATGGCCATTTTGCGCGTGCCCCTGATGCTACTACCTTCCACTGGGGGCACCTCGGGAGCAGATCTCCGACTCTGGTTTTTTGTGGTTTTCAACCCTGGCGTTTGTCGTAATTGTCGATCGTCGTCGATCGATCGCTCGTCGCCGTGGTCGCCGTCGCCACCGTCGTTGATCGGATCGAGCAAGTGCTCCCCGGAGAAACTCTGCGCTGCGGCCACCCCTTGCCTCATTCTGCCACCTCCCGGTGCCGAGGGTCCGTACGCGTGCCACCTCTGTGCCGGTCATGTGGACGTGACTGCGCCGCCCAAATCTTGAGCAGGGACCGACCGTCCCGGCATTCCTATAGTCCTACCACGACATGTCCTTAGAACCCAAACATGTTCTAAGAACAACAACAATGTTCTTAGAACACAAACCCGATGTGATAAAACAAAACGGACTCCGCCAGAAATGTTCTAAGATCATTCCGTGGGAGCCACACAAGGTCCTTAGAACATTGTTTGGTAGGGCCATACTGTTGAAGCGGTTAATATTACAGTAATAATTCCCTGAACAATTTTTCCGGTAATGTAATGGGCGTGCGTGACTTTCTGGTTGGATTTGTTTGTTCAGGAAGGTGGGTGGATTCTAGCAGGGAATTACCAGGAGTTGGGGAGGATTTGGGAATTGGGGGGGGGGGTTACAAAGGAAAGAGCAGGAGTTGGGAAGTTGGGACCCGGGGATGATTCTACAAAGGAAAGAGCAGGAGTTGGGGGGGATTCTGGAATTGGGGAGGATTCTACAAAAGGAAAAAGGGAGGAGTTGGGGAGGATTTGGGAATTGGGGAGGGTTCTACAAAGGAAAAGGAGGAGTTGGGGAGGATTTGGGAATGGGGGGGGTTCTACAAAGGAAAAAGGAGGAGTTGGGGAGGATTTGGTAATTGGGGAGGATTCTACAAAGGAAAAAGGAAGGGTTGGGGAGGATTTGGGAATTGGGGAGGATTCTACACAGGAAAAAGGATGACTTGGGGGGGATTTTGGAATTGGAAATGATTCTACAAAAGAAAAAAGTAGAGTTGGGGAGGAATTTGGAATTGGGGAGGATTCTACAAAGCAAACAAAAGGAGTTGTGGAGGATTTGGGAATTGGGGGGAGGGGGGGCTTCTACAAAAGAAAAACGAGGAGTTGGGGAGGATTTGGGAATTGGGGAGGATTCTACAAAGGAAAAAGGAGGAGTTGGGGAGGATTTGGGAATTGGGGAGGATTCTACACAGGAAAAAAAAGAGCTGGGGAGGATGGAGGAATTGGGGATGATTCTACAAAAGGAAAAAGGAGGAGTTGGGGAGGATTTGGGAATTGGGGTGGATTCTACAAAGGAAAAAGGAGGAGTTGGGGAGGATTTGGGAATTGGGGAGGATTCTACAAAGGAAACAGGATGAGTTGGGGAGGATTTGGGAATTGGGAAGGATTCCACAAAGGAAAAAGGAGGAGTTAGGGAGGATTTGGGACTTGGGGAGGATTCTACAAAGGAAAAAAGATGGAGTTTGGGAGGATTTGGGAATTGGTGAGGATTCCACAGGAAAAAAGAGGAGTTTGGGGGGGATTTGGGAATTGGAGAGGTTTCTACAAAGGAAAAAGGAAGAGTTGGGGAGGATTTGGGACTTGGGAGTATTCTACAACGGAAAAAGAAGCTGGGGAGGATTTGGGAATTGGGGAGGATTCTACAAACGAAAAAGAAAGTTGGGGAGGATTTGGGAATTGAGGAGGATTCTACACAGGAAAAAGGAAGAGTTGGGGAGGATTTGGGAATTGGGGAGGATTCTACAAAGGAAAAAGGAGGAGTTGGGGAGGATTTGGTAATTGGTGAGGATTCTACAGAAGAGAACGGAGAAGTTGGGGATGCTTTGGGAATTGGGGAGGATTCTACACAGGAAAAAGGATGAGTTGGGGAGGATTTGGGAAGTGGGGAGGATTCTACAACGGAGAAGGGGGAGTTGGGGAGGATTTGGGAATTGGGGAGCGTTCTACAAAGGAACAAGGAGGAGTTGGAGAAGATTTGGGAATTGGGGCGGATTCTACAAAGGAAAGAGCAGGAGTTGGGGCGGATTTGGGAATGGGGTGGGTTCTACAAAGGAAAAAAGAGGAGTCGGGGAGGAGTTGGGAATTGGGGAGGATTCTACAAAAGAGAAAGAAGGAGTTGGGGAGGATTTTGGAATTGGGGAGGATTCTACACAGGAAAAAGGATGAGTTGAGGGGATTCTTTGGGAATTGGGGAGGATTCTACAAAGGAAAAAGGATGAGTTGGGGAGGATTTGGGGATTGGGGAGGATTCTACAAAGGAAAAAGGAACAGTTGGGGAGGATTTTGGAATTGGGGTGGAATCTTCAAAGGAAAAAAAAATAGTTGAAGATGATTTGGGAATTGGGGCGGATTCTACAAAGGAAAAAGGAAGAGCTGAGGAGGATTTGGGAATTGGGGAGCGTTCTACAAAGGAAAAAGGGTTTTGGGGAGGATTTGGGAATTGGTGAGGGTTCTACCGAGGAAAAAGGAGGAGTTGGGGAGGATTCGGGAATTTGGGAGGATTCTACAAACGGAAAGAGGAGGAGTTGGGGAGGATCTGGGTATGTGGGGAGGATTCTACAAAGGAAAAACAAATTGGTGAGGATTTTGGAATTGAGGAGGATTCTACAAAGAAAAAGACGGAGTTGGGGAGGATTTGGGAACTGAGGAGGATTCTACAAAGGAAAAAAAGAGGAGTTGGGGAGGATTTGGGAATTGGGGAGGATTCTACAAAGGAAAAAGGAAGAGTTAAGGGAGGATTTGGAAATTGGGGAGGATTCTACAAAGGAAAAAATGATGAGATGGGGAGGATTTGGGAATTGGGGAGGATTCTACAAATGGGAGAAGGATGAGTTGGGGAGGGTTTGGGGATTGTGGAGGACTCAACAAACGAAAAAAGATGAGTTGGGGAGGATTTGGGAATCGGGGAGGATTCTAAAAAAGGAAAAAGGTTGAGTTAGGGAGGATTTGGGAATTGGTGAGGATTCTACACAGGAAAACGACGGAGTTGGGGGGGATGTGGGAATTGGGGAGGATTCCACAAAGGAAAAAAGGTGTGTTGGGGAGGATTTGGGAATTGGTGAAGATTCTACAAAAGGAAAATGAATGGTTGGGGAGAATTTGGGAATTGGTGAGGATTCTACACATGAAAAAAGAAGAGTTGAAGATGATTTGGGAATTGAGACGGATTCTACAAAGGAAAGAGGAGGAGATGGGAGAGATTTGGGAATTGGTGAGGATTCTACAAAGGAAAAAGGAGGAGTTGGGGAGGATTTGGGAATTGGGGAGGGTTCTACCAAGGAAAAAGGAGGAGTTGGGAAGGATTTGGGAATTGGGGAGGATTCTACAAAAGGAAAAAGGAAGAGTTGGGGAGGATCTGAGTATTTGTGGTAGATTCTACAACTGAAAAAAAAACGAGTTGGGGAGGATTTGGGAATTGGGGAGGATCCTACAAATGAAAAAGAGGGAGTTGGGGAGGATTTGGGAATTGGGGAAGATTCTACAAAGGAAAAAGGAGGAGGTGGGGATGATCTGGGAATTGGGGATTATTCTACCAAGGAAAAAATAGGAGTTGGGGGGGATTTGGGAATTGGGGAGGATTCTACAAAGGAAAAAGGAGGAGTTGGGGAGGATTCGGGAATTCGGGAGGATTGTACAAAGGAGTAAAGGAATAGTTGGGGAGGATTTGGGAACTGAGGAGGATTCTACAAAGGAGAAAGGAGGAGTTGGGGAGGATTCGGGAATCGGTGAGGATTCCACAACGGAAAAAGGGTGCGTTGGTGAGGATTTGGGAATTTGGGCGGGTTCTACAAAGGAAAAAGCTAGAGTTGGGGAGGATTTTGGAATTGAGGAGGATTCTACAAATGAGCAAGGAAGAGTTGGGGAGGATTTGGAATTTGCTGAGGATTCTACCAAAAAAAAAAGGACGAGTTGGGGAGGATTTGGGAATTGGAGAGGATTCTACAAAGGAAAACATGTTGTGGTGAGGATTTGGGAATTGGGGAGGACTCTACAAAGGAAAAAGGATGAGCCGGGGAGGATTTGGAAATTTGGGAGGATTCTACAAAAGGGAAAAAAAAAAGAGTTGGGGAGGATTTTGAACATTGGTGATGATTCTACAAACGAAAAAGGATGAGTTGGGGAGGATTTGGGAATTGGGGAGGACTCTACAAAGGAAAAAGGATGAGTCGGGGAGGATTTGGGAATTCGGGAGGATTCTACAAAGGAAAAAAATAGGAGTTGGGCAGGACTTGGGAATTGAGGAGGGTTCCACAAAGAAGAAAAAGGAGGAGTTGGGGAGGATTTGGGAATTGTGGGAGGATTCTACAAAGGAAAAAGGAGGAGTTGGGGAGGATTTGGGAATTGGGGAAGATTTTACAAAGGAAAAAATGTGTTGGAGAGGATTTGGGAATTGAGGGGGGATTCTACAAAGGAAAGAAGGAGGAGTTGGGGAGGATTTGGGAATTGGGGAGGATTCTACAAAGGAAAAATGAAGAGGGATGATTTGGGAATTGCGGTTGATTCTACAAAAGGAAAATGAGGGAGTTGAGGAAGAGTTGGTGAGGATTTGGGCCTTGGGGAGGAATCTACAAAGGAAAAAGGAGGAGTTGTGGAGGATTTAGGCATTGGGGCGGATTTTACAAAAGAGAAAGGAGGAGTTGGGGATGATTTGGGAATTGGCGATCCTACAAATGAAAAAGACGGAGCTGGGGAGGATTTGGGAATTGAGGAGGGTTCTACAACTGAGAAAGGGAAGTTGGGGA